ATTACAAGACATTTTTGATCACTGAAATTATTTTCTCTATAAAAAAATTAGAGATATTTGGATAGTACTAGACGAAGTTGTCGGAAAGATACAATAATTTTCCTTGATTTATTTTAAATTAAAAGTCTTTAGGACAACTGTAGGTCTGCAAGAAAAAATTAAGTGGTTATAATAAAAATTAAATAAAAAAAAACAGGAATAATAACCGAAAACTTCACCTAATGCTATTTAAACATCTTTAAATCCTTAAATAATTAACATTCATCCCCAGACCCCTAATTCTTTTTAACATCTAATTTTACCTAATTCTTTTGAAAATGCATATAATTTTCATGGAACAAAGCATCCTTCAATTTTTTTAATATTTTTTTTTCTCAAAGCATCTCTTTATCTGTACCTTTATCGTTATATTAAATGAAGGAAATCACTCCCTTTGTTTTCCATTTTTTAACCCTAAAAAAGAAAACCCTCTCAAGTCTTCCTTCAATTCATCCTGTCAAAGCTTTGTTTCCATTCATATTCATAGATTTTAAGGTAATGAATATAAAATAATGAAATTATTTTATATGATCTATATATACACTGCATCCATCAAGCTCGGATTTTGCTCTCTCTTTTTTCATTAATTATACCCTCTTCTTCCTTGCAAATATCTGAATCTGGGTGTGAAGATACACGTAGTTGATCTATTTTGATATTTTTAGTGTGTTTTTTTCTGTTGTTATTTGTTCTTAACCTGGGTTTCTGTTGAATTCCTGAAGAACCTAAGTCCTAAATTAAAGCTAGGTTAATTTGCAGACAGTATAAAGAAGAAGAAGTAGAGAAATCTGATCAGTATAAAGTACAAAGTAAAAAACACAAATTATTTCCATATTATGCTCTAGATATAATCTCTGTTAAGCACAGTCGATTTTCATTATGAGAAAAACCTAGCTTTCACCAAGTACAGAAGGTGGTATATTCATTGAATTTTTTCGATTTTTTTTACGAATTATTTTGTTAAATTTTTCGTTTTAATTAGAGGTCAGATCGAAGTTAGATATTGGAGCTTGTGAGCAAGTGGATTTTTTTAGCAATGTCCGGGTTGGATTCAGCTGGTTCGGGTTCTCGTTATATCCATCAGCTACTTACACCAGAGAAAGAAGCAACCGATCACGGTGGCGCGACAACGGATTCAGGCGGCGGAGGCACCACTCCAGGAGGAAGAAGGCCACGAGGTCGTCCAGCAGGCTCCAAGAATAAACCTAAACCACCGATAATCGTCACCCGCGACAGTCCAAACTCACTAAAATCCCATGTGCTCGAAATATCTTCCGGTTCGGACATAGTCGACTCAGTAGCAACCTACGCGAGGCGGCGTGGCCGGGGTGTTTGTTTGCTCAGCGGAACCGGTGCGGTCACGAATGTTACACTGCGGCAACCGGCTCCCCCATCCGGGAGTGTCATAACACTGCACGGGCGGTTTGAGATTTTATCTTTAACCGGGACCTCCCTTCCGCCACCGGCCCCGCCAGGGTCCGGTGGCTTGACGATTTATCTCTCCGGTGGTCAGGGTCAAGTTGTCGGAGGGAGCGTGGCGGGTCCGTTAATGGCTTCGGGTCCGGTTGTATTAATGGCCGCATCATTTGCCAATGCAGTTTATGATAGGTTGCCCCTTGATCAAGAGGAAGAGCCAGCAGTTCAGCTACAACCGGCAGCTTCACAGTCATCTGGAGTCACTGGTAATTGTGGGGGAGGGCAGTTGGCTGATGGTGGCAGTGGAACCACCACCAACAGCGGCTGTGGAGGTGGCGGTGTTCCTTTCTATAATTTGGGAAGTTATCCTTTTCCAGGTGATGTATTTGGCTGGAAGGGCAGTGCAACGAGGCCTACCTTTTAGTGATCAAATAATGAAGAAATTATTGCAGAATTTAATGGTTTCATTAGCAATGGAAATTGTATTCCAATGCAGATAGCAAATGAATCCGACTTCTTCAAGGAAAGGGACGAAGCCCAAAGGATCAGTAAGTTTGAGTTCTTGTACAAAACATATCATGTTTCTTCTTCTTTTTCCTTTTCATTTTCTGGGAATATTTTTGTCGCCTTCCAAACATGTTTAATTTATATAAACAGTAGATATATTATGAAAGAAACTAAACCTAATGCACATTTATCTATGAATGCATGTGTTGCATAGTGTGTGACATGATTTGAATATAAAATATAGACATCATACTTATTTTATATAATCTTTATTCGGTTTCTCATCTGCACTGGCAAATCATAACTCTAGTTCTTTTGGTTTGCTTGGACACCATGCTCGGTAGCCAAAACAAGAACGGCTTGCATGAAATAAATTATATAAAAATCTGCCTCGGCATCAACCAAGTATATTTTCAAATTATACCCTTGCATTATTAACGAACAAAGAAGAAACTTACCTTGTTAGAGACAAAGATAGCTTAAGACCAAGCTCCCAAGTTGTGCCCTGATCCGCTGGCTTAGGTGGTTCTCTCGGGCAAGCCTGGAATTTTGAACTTGGAAAAAACGGAAGCGAAACTCTTCATGGGCTTTAAGCCCTACTAACATTATGGTTTATTGTCCACTGAAGTAGGATGATATTGTTTTTTTTCTAATTAAGACCAATAATTGAAAGGTTTTTTTTATTTGTTTATATCTTTAAAAAATTAAATTATTATTTTATTTAAATTCAATATTAATTATCACATAATAATACACCAATGATTACATGGTAGTTAACAATTTTATTAAATGATGATTACATCTTAAAAAGAAAAAGTTGAATTCAAATAAAAAAAAATGTTTTCGTCGATTTGGACTCAACTAGAATATTCTAATCTTGATCTGAGATTGCACTCCATTCGAAATCGACCCCACTTAGAGGGAGTTTGATTCAAGGATTGTGGGATTCCCATGTTTGGTTGGCCGGAAATCTCATTTATGGTAATGTTTTATTATCAATAGTAGATTTTTTTGGGTATATTGCCGGGAATGTCATTACCTCCCTTCCCTTAGGTATTTTAACATTACCGGCGTTTTGGACTAAAATGCCCTTAAATTTGTATTTTTTTCAAAAATATCATTCTTCTGTCATTGAATAATAAAAATTATACGAATGTTAAATTACAAATTTATCTTTAAATTATTTTAGATTTACAAAAAAAAATATAATTAAAATTTTATATGAAGTTCAGGGGTTAAAATTTTTTTGTACCCTTTCATTAAACCTTTTTTATATTTTTAATTTTGTAAAAAAATTATATAAATATTATGAATTTAATTTTTTAAAGAAAATATATAAATATTTTACAATTTGTAATATTATACAAATATATAACAAGGACAATTTGGTCAAATATACATTCCAATAATCTTTTATTCCTTTAACCAAACACGGTAATTTTACATTCCCGCTAAACCAACCAAACACAAAATACAACATTCCCAGTAATCCTATTCCCTGGTAATCTTTTATTCCCACTGGTAATCTTACATTCCGTGAACCAAACGCACCCTTAAAGTAATCGAGGGGGTTTTGAATGTAACCGGAGAGAATAATTTTTTTTGCACAAACGAAAGTGTTACATAGGCGGGAGGAGATTTTTTTCTTCTTAATTTATTTTTTTTAAAATAATTTTTAAAAAATATATATAATTGCGACATGTATAAGATAACGACCTAATTTAACGGTCGTTACAACCTAGAAATCTAAAAGTATAATGTTGAAAACGTTAGACGTCTGTTATTCGCAAAAAAAAATTAGGCACCTAAATTTAAATTAGGGTATAATTTGTGCACTTATTTTTGCATTAAGCCAAAATATAAACACGACACGTGTCATTTAACAATTTTTTTAATAATTGTTACTGTGTATACACCTAAAAATGTAACTGATAAAAAGTTATTACGTTAGACACCTAAAAATGTAACGAAGAAAACATTAAACACTTGAAGTTAATGTATAATTTAGACATTTATTTTTATATTAAGCCTTACTCAAATTTTTATATCAAAATAATGAGTTGGAAGGGATATTTTTCCATATATGCCAGCATTTTTACCATGTGTATAGTTAACAATGTTAACTATTGGACCAAATAATAATGGCATTATAAAGATATATAAATTAAATTATGATAAATTTAGGTATAGAATTAAATATTAAATTTAAGAATAATAGAAGGACAACAACTGCAATTACTAATTTTTACGTTAGCAAGACAAAAAATGTTAATAAAGGAGAGGTAACAACTAGAATGGCTCCGTTCATTCATTGGGGTAATGCAAACTTATTGAAGTAATTAAACTGTTAAAAGTTATTTATTGATATTTTTACTCTTCGGTTCAAGGATCAAATTGGTAAAATAATAACAAAAAAATTACAGTTTTAGCTTTTTTATTATATTTAGATTTAAGATTTAATCATTATAATGTTATTTAATTAATTTAAAGATTTCACATTATTAGTCATTTCAATAAAAATATTGATACTGATTTTTTTTTTAAATCATTCGTTTGAACTCATCATGTCGATATAAAAAAACGAAAGTGTTTTTTTTAAATTACATAAATATTAGTAAGTTAAATTACATCAAATCTACTAATTATTATAACAAAAGTAAAAATGATTTTATTGACTCATTTAACTTAAAGAATTTTCTTAGATTAATTAGCACCATTAAATAAAATAATGAATTTCAAACATTTATTTTGAAATACTTTTGTTCTGATGTACTAAATTAAAAGAAGAAAAAACTCTTGTTTCTCAAGCAGCAATGAACATGTTGACGTGAATATTTGTAGTTAAATTGTAGACGTTGTATCATTTATACCACTGGTTTTTTAAATTATAAATTATAAATTTGAAATTTTAATTTAATTTACATTGTATCATGTAGCTATTGCATGAAAGTTGCATTGAAATGAAAGTCACGTTTCTAAACCACTTAAGCTTTGCCAGATAGAAAGGTTTTCTTAATCACTACTAAAGAATGCACAGCTGTAAAATGTTGATTCAATGAACTAGTGGGAATCATGGACGGTCCACATGAACACATTCCACCACATAGCAGAAAAATAATTAATAAACACAAACTTTAAAAGAAAATGTGCTATATGTAGCAACCAGACAGCATAGACAACAGGTTGAGCTGTGCCACCACCACATAAAATTGAAAGCAAATTTGTTTTGGTTTTTCTCTAATAGCACATTGAAAATGCCCCTACCTCATGCACATACACTTTCTGTTTGGCAGCACCCCGGCTCACAGGAACGCATCCTTCTCAAGCAACTTAAGCACCTCGTGCTGATTGTTCAGCTTCGCAACGTCGATGACCGTCTTCCCGTCCATGTTTTGGAGTGTGCTGTGGTAAGAGATGAGGAATTACTTTTGTAGCAAAAAGGGGAATATAGGATATAATAGTCGGCATTGATGACTGGCATATACAAGTCGTTTTACTTACACGGCAGCGCCGTTCTCCAGTAGAAGGGCCACACAGTCTTTCCTTCCGTAACCAGCTGCGTAATGAAGCGCGGTATTCTTATTTTTGTCCAAAGCATCAACTTTTGCTCCAGCTTCAATAAGGACTTGAGCACATTTCACCTATAATTATATTGAGTTATTAGCTTTAACCCTCCAGACAATAAACTTGATAGTCTAGCATTTATCAAAGCGATTATCGTTACAAAAAAAACCCAGCATATCTTAGTAGTTGTCAGATTCCATGATACACTAATATTGGATGATGATGATGATAAGCAAAGCTTGATTGATATGTGACCATCCTGCCATCCAAAGCTGCTATCGACGGTCCATCAAGTAGGTCATTCAAACTCTATTTCAATATTAGTCCATCCTAAAACTAGCACTTGACAAGGCTATTAGGAAAAGGTCCTCGGCGCATAAAGGACTACGGTTATCATTTATGAATTATGATATAAAGAGACAATAAGCATTAGTGATTTCCATGGATACTGCATGCTTGTAGGCAATTAACAATTAAATCTACTACATCTGGTTTTATGCACCAAATTTTTCCTCGTTAGAAACTACGTTTGCTGGGTGATGGCGATGCAATGGTAAAAGAGGGGAGAGAAAGAGAGAGATTCAGTTACAAAATTATTATACCTCACCATATCCACATGCAAAATGCAATGCTGTCCTTCCCTCTGAACCTTCTTCATCCTTGTCAGCACCAGAGGCTAGAGCAGCTTTAAGACCCTAAATTACGATTAGAGTCAAAACTTTTTAGATTATCTGCCAAAGGGGAAGAAACATGCATACAAATCGTTCATTAAGTCATACCTCAACATCACCGACACTAGCACAGTTATGTACGATCGATTCATCCTCATTCGCTACTTCGTCACCTTCATCTGCTGCAGAGTAACTGGCAGAAGTGGCTGCATCTCCTGAAACAGCTAGACCCATTGCTTCACCCAACTTCTTCAGAACATCTTTATCATTCCAGTACCTAAATAAGAAACCTTTTAGTGAATGAATATGAATATGCACATCCTACACTCATTCTAATGAGGAGATATGTTATGCCCATAAGCTAATAAAATCACCCACTTCATCATTGCTGCAGGACCACCAGTCTCAATTTCATCTAGAATAGGTTTCAACGATGGATCTTCTTTCATACGTGCCATCCTTTCCTCAATCTGGTCTTTGTGTTGAGGATTAGTCAAACCGTCAAGCATGCTAGACATAGCTGGATCCTAAAGAAAAACAAAACAAAAGCTTCATCTTTCAATGTGATTTCATGTAATTTAATACAAGGGCAAAACATTAAGAGAAAAAAACTTGCAACTGAGCCCACACCTGCATTAATGCATTACCAAGGCGCTCAGCCATGTTCATAAACTGGGGATTATGCATAACTTGTTGCATGGTTGAATAGTACTGCTGTGGATCAAACTGCGGCACGCTATCTTCAGTCGCTGCCCCTTGAAACGTCTTAGTGAGCTGTTCTGCCATTTGGGTAAATGAAGGATCTTTTGCTATCTGCTCAGCTAGTTCCTTGATGCTTGGATCCTAACAAATCAAGATGATTAGGAACCATAAGCCATAAAATTAAAATTTGTTGAAAGTTAAAACTTAAATAAAAGCCACTAGGGCATCCAAATTGGAATATACATGATATTATTACACAAACACACTCTCTCACACACTTGTATATATAAGATTAATATCAAGACCGAATCAATCACAAAAAAAGAAAACTTCAGAACCTGTCCAAACCCAAATTGACCAAAAAGTTAAAAAAAAAAAAAAAAACTGTACCCAAAGATATCTAAGCCTTTAAAAACCAAACCCAGAGACTAATCTAATCCAAACCCATAAAAATCTAAATTTAATGCTAAAAGTTAAATTGATTACTTGTCCATTAAAAAATTAATGATCAATTTTCTTCAAATCCAAACCGGACAAACTTGAGAAAACTGGCCGAAAATTACTTGAATTTGAAATTACTCAAAAATCAAAACTTGGTGTCCCTTCTATACCGGAGAATGATCTGATTTGTACCTGTAATAATCCCAACTTAATACTAAAATTGATATTAACAACTTTTTTTAGAATTTCATTGTCAATTTTATTTTAATCTTAAACTGGAACAAAAATGACCTGAAACTAAAACTCAAAATTACCCAAAAAGACTTGAACATTGGATTACCCCAATTGCATTGAGCCCCATAAAACAAAATTTAACGTCCCTTGTATACGTGCAATTACAGACTATACAAGATTTACCCAAGCTCCCAAATTTATCAGTGGACACTGTTCTTCTTTTAGCTCCCAGCCTTAATAGACTTCAGTGTTGACAAACCAATTAATGAGATTATCAGTAAACCTAAAGATACTTGACTAGATTACTAATGCAGAAATGCATTAAGGAAATAAAGAAAAAGATGAGTTATGCTTATAAAAAAACGATCAGATGAAAACATAAATATTATTAATACTAATTTATTCAAAGAAACAGTTTATAAAAACCCACGTAAGAATCAAAAAGAAAAGGAGGAACACTCACATTAAGAAGGCCACTCATAGCTGAGAAATCAAATGGATTGGGTGGGACAAACCCAGGTCCTGGCATAGTGGCAGGATAAGCTCCAGACTGTGCTGGTTGTGACCCCCCAGCAGAAGCTTCTGGCTTCAAAGTTTTGTCCTCGGTGGTCAATGTTTCCGGTTTAGAACTTTTGCTCTCATCTAACAAAGACACACACACACAAAAAAACATAAAGACCAATCAGCTATGACCCTAGTAGTTCAGAAAATTTAAACCCCAAGAAAGTGAAATTAATCAATCTCTCTAGTAGATGAAATGAAACCCCTAATTCAGATACAAGACCTGAACAAAGTACTGAAAAGGAATAACACAATTCAAAGGCAGTATCACAATAACAGAGAAAGACAGTTATTTTATTTATTTTAATTCGAAAAGCCAATCAATTCAAGACCTAAACGAAGCATTCAGAAGGTAAAAAGCATGCAACTAAAAAGGCAGAATCGACAATAACACTGATGAGAGGTAACCATCTTATTATCAACTGGAAAACCCAAAATTGGTACTAAAAGGGGAAATTTTTTAACAGGTAACATTGATCTCGGAACAAAGTCCAAACACAATTCAAAGTTAAAACAAAAAAAGGGGGGACTTTGGGATTTTAAGCTCACCGGAAGAAGTGGATTCCTTCTGCAAATTGGAAGCCATAGCTGAAATCCAACGATGTTACAAATTAGTATTTACGAAAGAAAAAACAAAAATGAAGAGAAATTAGAAGATGGGAATTGAAAACAACCTCGATTCGAAAGTTGGGTTTAATAAAGAGAATCAGGAGAACCGTACCTGATAAGCAAATGGGGTGTTCTTGTGCTTTGCTTGCTGGGTTGGGTTAGTAGTAGAGCGAGTGAAATAGTAGTACCTGTGTGAGTTCTAAGGCGCAGCACAGAAGAAAATGGGAAAAAAAAGGGATTAAGAGATGGATGGTGGTGATATTGGCCTATTGGGTACAAGTGGAAATTAGAGATTGCGTTGTGGATGAGAGTTGGTGGGCCATCTCAATCCTCATCTTCTGCTTTGCTGGAGTCGCTACGGGACTACAGCTGGGCGTGCATCACGCTATGTCCGAAATAATTAAAAACATATTTTTAAAAATAATTAAAATTATATATATAGGAACCAATACATAATTTTATGTTAATAATACAAATCTATAAAAAATCATATTAAAAATCTTAAATTGTAAAATTAAATTATTAATATAATATATAAAAAATATCTAAATTATATAAAAATTTAAATTTATAAAGATACGATTATCCTTCAATATTCTTTAGATCTATTCTTATACATGTCAAAATAGTATAAAATGAATCATTGAACGACCTCAATGATAAATGGAGTGTTATTCTCTATAATTTTTTTGAATTTGAGCGGGTATTTTGTAAGATATATATGTATGAGTTATTAATAATTAAAAAAGATTTTGAATAAATATTATCTTATAATCATTTAAAATATAAAATGTTAAATATAAATTTAAACACCAATATATAAATTTAAAATTTCCAATGATATTTTTTAGTATCCGTTTAATACATTCCTATACATGACAACATGAATGTAAAATAATTATTAAATAATAAATTCTTAATACTATGAACATTCAAGATAAACACTTAATTATTTATATATTGAATTATTATTATAATTATACATAAGTATATTATAAATAAATAAATAACGAGTAATTATAGAAATTAAGAGAAATATTAAATTACAATATTAGTCTATTTGTTATAAGAATGTTTTGTTTCATAATTTTATAAATCTTCAAATTCAGAATCAATAATATTTATATATCAACCTATCATTTCTTTAAATGAAATTATTTATAAAATATATTAAAATGATAAATTAATTTATTTTCCATCAATGTCGATATTGGGCTTTAAGGCTATATAAAAATAAATTATTATATAAAAAGATTGACAGAGGAAAGCCCGAAAAACTTTCCATTATCCTCGAATGATCAAACACCGAGGGAAAGCAACGGTGAATGAAAGATAAACATGGCAGTGAAAGGATTTTCTTGCAATCTGAATGCAAGTATAACTGAAACCCATCATCTTCTTCTTCGCCAGAATTTACCCGTAGTCGCCAGGCAGCCATTTCCCAATCATTCTTTTGCTTCATATCCGATTCTAAACAACAACCACGACAAAAAGAAGACACCGATTCTTCGAATCCGAGCAGCTGAAGAAAGCAATTCGACTGTTAGTGTTTCTAGCACAAGCGACGTTAAAGGTTCAGGGACGACAGCCAGAGGGAGGAGACTTCTCAAGATACGTGAGGAGAAGAGAAAGCGAGAATTCGACAGGCTTCACAATTACCCGTCATGGGCCAAGTACATATCTTCTTCTTCTTCTTTTTGTTCTTATTCTTTATATGTATACTATGCGTTCTACCTGTTCGACTTATTGCCTCTTTGAAAAAGAGTCCTAGAAGACGCCTGCAAAGAAGACGAAGAGCTACGAGCGGTTCTCGGCGATAGCATTGGTGACCCTGAGCAAATGAGGAAACGAGTCCGTTAACACCCTTTTTTTCCATTTCCTTACCTGAAATCAAATTTATAGCTCATAATCTGATTTTCCAACTAGTTTTTTCATCATGCTTTGTAGATTGAAGAGCGTGTTCGTAAAAAGGGCAGAGATTTTAACAAGAAAAAGACTGGCTCTGTGCTTTCTTTTAAAGTCAGCTTCAGAGAGTACGTATTCTATTCCCTCAATCAACAACTAGTATACTATTAGTCGTCCATGGTAGTAATTGGTTTCCACTTTCCATGTTTAGAATTGAGGGTAGCACTGTCATCTTTTCTGAACAAAAGGGAACTTTTGTTGTATGACTAAACTAATTTATCAACCCCGTTGTTTGATAGTTGCATGAAGTAGCTGATGTTTCTCTACCTCTCGACTTTTATGATCTTTGTTTATATTGTCTGTCCAGTTTTAATCCGCTTGATTCCTACATATGGTTCGAGTTATATGGATCACCTTCTGATCGAGAAGTCAATCTCATTGGAAGTGTAAGTAGTCTCACTCTCCTTCCGGTTCCTTCTGTTAGCAATTTGGTGCTGAAATTAGACTATTGTTGGAGAAGCCTTTCCTTGTTTGCTCTCATTTTCTTTATCTGTCTGTTTTGTATGAACTGTATATTGTTTGTAATGCAAGAAGCATATCTCTCATTGGTGAGATAGTGGCCTTGTGTAAGGGTTTATATACAACTCTTTATCCACCCACATTGAGTAATGGAAGAGAAGACTCACTCACGTGCCGCAGCCATTTCCTATAAAAGGGAGCTTTCCTCTCACTCGCAATCACACAACTAAATCATTCTCTCTTATCCCTTTCCTCCTCTCTGCATTTCTCACAGCTTTTCTCTGCTTGCTGCTTGCCAGTTGGCTCTTTGCCTTATTTAGCAGCACTATGTTAACTTTGGGGTGACGGTCCATTTTCTGATTACAACGATCACGTCCTGTTTTTCAGTAGTAATTATGCTACATTTATATTCATTCAATTCGATATATGTGCAGGTTATTCAGTCCTGGTATGTCATGGGACGCTTGGGAGCCTTTAATTCGTCTAATTTGCAGGTTTGTTCATGGTTCTTTTTGCTCCGTTTTCTTAGCCTTTATCAGGGGTCTTGCTGTTCAAGTGAAATTAAGCTTATTAATTCATATTGATGACAGTTGGCAACTGCTTCAATGGAGTATGATCCCATCTATGATGCAGATAAGGGTTTTAATGTGATGCCATCATCTTTTCATGATATTGGTGATGTTGAGTTTCAGGACAACTGGGGCCGTGTTTGGTATGATTTTCGATATCCATTTGCAGTTATCATTTTGGTTCCGTAGTAGTCTATTTCCTTATTGCTCTTTCGCTGGAATTTACATTTTGACATTTACAGGGTAGATCTCGGTACTTCGGATTTTTTCCCCATCGATGTGCTTCTCAACTGCATGACAGTATTAAGTGCAAAGTAAGTTTAACTGATTCTATTAAGTAAAAAAAGAACAAAAATAGAAACGATTGTGTCATCGAATTTCATGGTGGATACATTGACATTGTTCCTTTTTCTTTTTTGCCAGTTATTTGGGCATTCAACAGATTGTTTTTGGTGGTCGCCGGATGGGCGATTGGGAAGAAGGTATGAAAAACCCTGACTACGGCTACAAGTACTTCAAAATCTGAACCAAACGTCCATCCAGATGCAACTGCAATCTGGAAGGTATGTTACGTCTTAGGTTGCAACTTGCGTGTACAACTGATAGACACTAGAGATGGCCCATCAATGGGCATCTTTGCTGTTCCTTATCTGAGTTTGGAAGTTCGGATTTTTTTTAAGGAAAGAAAGTTCCGATCTAAAATCACGAATCCTACTTTTTGTTCCCTCCATTTTCAACTTTTTAAAGTGATTCCACATGAAACTCGGAGTGCTGCTATCAATGAATGATTGTAGATCGATAGAAATCTATTGTTCGACTGGTATTTGGCCGCAATGTTCTTCACCTAAACAGCAACTAAATCCCACAAATCCCATTTATCCATTGTTACCGAACCAAGACTACTGATTAAACAAAACTATAAAGCAGGATTTTTAGTTAGAAAAAGAGAGCCAAAAATGCAGATGACTGCCAATTCTTAATCAACCTCGGTTGAAGTAAAATTCTAGCGTCTGCAAACCCTTCCCTTATTCCGAAACTGCTGCAACCGTGACTGAGGTTTAACGTCAGTTATTATGCTGCTGGCGAGACATGAAGAAGTCGAAATCATGGTGCCGGAATTGAAGTTGTCTCAACCAGGAAGCAGCAGCAGTTTGTTGACATATAATGGTGTCCTTGTCTGATGTTCCGGGATTAATCCACAATGTTCCAAACATCTTGTAAGTAACCACGGCAAAAGGAGGGAGCGAAACCTCCTCTTTCTTGCCGCCTGATCAAACCCCAAATGAAAAATGTCACAGCATAACATTGGGTTGAAATGGAATGGCTACAAAAATTATATATGATTTATACCAGTTGCTTTGATTAAACCATACCTTGAGGTAAAAATGACAATGGATGGTAGGAGAGAAAACATGCCGACAGTTCTTTCACATCCCTTGCCAATGGAATTTGATAGACAGGATACCTAATAAAACATTAATGGACCATGTTCAGACTTCCTTGAAAAGTACACTATTTTTTATATGAACATTTATGCCTAAATCTATGACGGACATGGATGCTTTCAGATAACATGCAATATTAATGATGAATCAAACATACCAAGCTATTGCCATCCAACTATAAGGTGAAACATCTGTGCTGCGGATGTCAAATAAACAAGGATACTGCTTGCTCAACTCATTAATCTGTTCAAAACAAGCTCACATTAAACTAACATATAAAAAACTCTTGATTCTCTGAAAATTTTCAATTTCTTTTAGAAAAAAATGAAATCATTAAAAATGTAGTAGGAAAATTAAAAACACATTTTATATATTTTATGTCTAAATTGATTGCAGAAATACATGATCTCGTTTGAATCACAAAATATGAATTCAAAAATAGTTATTGGTTGATAAACAAACTTTTGACTCACCTTTTCTAGAAGGGGAACTCGATCGTAAGGACTAGCCATCTCATTGTACTGGTAGTACAAGTAGCCACATTGATCAATTGTTTTAGTAAATGTTGTAGAATCATCGTCCCAAGTGGTCTCCGAACTCGAACATGAGCCATTGCTTGATGAAAAAGAAGAGTTGCAAATTTCGTCACTGCTGCCATGATCATTACTGCAAGAGCCGTTTTCAGGTTTCTCCATGCTTCCCAATGGACTACAGTTAGCCAAAAATGACAAGAATCCAAGTTAGAGAAGGGGAAAAAACAGAAATTATAGAAAATCTATGTACTATACTATTTAATTTGATCATTTTTTCTCCTTTGTTTTCCCCCCCTAAATGTGTATTTTCAATAATAAGTACAACCCTTTTTCTGATTTGATTATACAAAAAAACATCAAAATATATATGTTACGTTATCACGATTTTAAAAAAATAATGTCAAAATATTTGATAGGATCAATATGAAAACTTAATCTCGTACCTAAAAAAACGCATTTCAAAATATAAAAATTAAACTGATCAAGGAGATTAAAGTCATCAAAAACATATAACACAAGGACCACATATAAAATTTAACCGGAAAATAGATAGACCTGAATGAGGAAGAAAAGGGCTTGATTGTATATATTTGCAAAGCCGATAAGGAGGGTGAATAGTACTGCACGACGACGGCGCCATTGTTCAACACAATAGGGACAGCAACGCCATAAGCACTCCACTCGGTATAAGAGTGCCACAGATCACTCAAAGTGAAGCCTTCGATTGTATCATTATCCTTCTCAATATTTTGCGAGTATCCATTTGAATTTTGATTAAATTCCTGTCAATTAACATTGAAAAAAATTATAGATTTTTTTAGAAATAATTATCTAATTAACAATCAAGGATTTAATTAATCAATAAACAATAATATTGTAAAAGATTGCATTAATAAATGAACCGATCAAATTGTCCACTTTCGACTTAATTGATTAAACTCTCAGCTTAATTATATAAAATAAAAAAATAAATATTAATAATTTAAAAAAATCAGCATAAATTCTGAATTTTAAGTGATAAATATGGGACAAAATCACACACACACACACAAATCAAATAGAAACTCAAACTATATCTTAAAACCGATTTAAATTGGTTTTAGCCAAAAAAAATTCTGATTTTTTTTCTAATCCGATCCTAGTTCTGACAAAACTAAATAATATATCACATTTGAAACTTAACCAAAGAAAAAAATCTGAAAATAAATTAAATGTTGTTTTAAAGGGGTTTTTATAAAGCAAAAAGATCGTTATTATATTATTTTTTATTGGATTCAGTAAAAATCGAATTACATGAATTGTGAAATATTGAAATCGTACAAAGAAGGAAAAAAAACAAAACAATAAATGGAAATGAAAGTATTACCTTTGGCAGCAATCGGATAGGAACAACAGGAGTAACGCAACGAAGAAAGCATTGAAGATTAGAGTGATTTGAAGCAGAAGGCATCGGCAAATCCCAGGGAGAGAACACCGACATTATTGAATCGACGATGATGTGCCCTCGCTTACTTGAAGCAACAGAAGCAGCAGCAGGTACGTTAATGCAAATCACCAGCTGTTTGTATAAATGGCGACTCGTTATATCGTCTTTTATAATACGATAAGATCTCATATCAACATCGGTGAAGATGATAATCTTGAAAAATACATAAAATTCAATCTGATAATTTCAAATTTAAGTTATCCATATCCATTCACATATATATATATATAATCTCCATCTTTTACATATATATATATATATATAATCATCATAATCGCCATTGTCTCTACCTGTTTGGATCAAGCTGGAATCGAAGCTTTAATGGATAAAAACAAAATTGAGCTATACGAGACGACTCGAAACCTACTGTTTTAGAATTTAGCAATCGGACGAACTCACTGCTCCTCTTTCTTCTGTTTTTGCATCAGAGAAGCAAACTGAGTTTTGATTCAAAAACAAAGTCACGGATTCAAAAGCAAAATGAGATGGCTTTTAAACAAAAAAGAGACAAAAACCACCACCTGAATGCAGAGATTCTGATGAATTATATGCTTGAATATTTTTGAAACTATTTTTCAAATTTCATTCATATATTATTTAAAGATATATAGTATTGTATAGACTTAATATATATTATTTTTTATTGAATTATGGCATTTTGAAAATTAATTAAGGATTTCAAAATCCAAATCCTTTTAACAAACACTTATCCGATAATGGGACCTTCCATGTTTGCCATCTTTTTTAAATTTCCATTTATGAAAAATAAAGGATTATTACATTGCTAACGCTGACGTGTCTCGTTGGTGCAATGCGTTTGAGTCGGCAAAATATTTCTTATAGATTTGTGAAGTCTCACTTTCTTAAACACGATGGTTTTTGTAAGGGTAAAATATATATACAAGATCATTCAATTATGAATATGTTCTATTTAAAAAATTATAAAATTATTTAAGTATAATATTATTGTAAAAAACTCTTCCAGAATTAAAATTAAAATATACCCCAATATAATAATTTAGCCTTCAAAAATTATTAAATCAAAATAATAATATGAAATTTTCAGGGGGGAAAAGCAAGCAATTTAAGAAATGATAAAAACAATTTATTAAATTGTTTGTTTGAAATTTGAATCAAGAACAAATTGTTAAATTATACAAGTTTCAAAATTAAAACTGATATTATATCAGACCTTATTAATTCATCTAATATTTAGTGATAAATGATGTATTTATAACGATATTCTAATTAATCAAAAGAACCCAATTTCCGGTGCACCGATAGAAGCTACCAATTTGCTCCATCTCAGGTTTCTCAATATCCCCTAAATATCAGCAGTCCCATCTTTTGGACACGTGTAAATTCATATATAAAATATGTATATTTTACATACGAGCCCAAAGGTACAAATCGAGGTTCAGCATATTGGGTTAGTGTGCAGTAATACAGCGGTTGGCAAAGATATGAACTTGAAAAAAACTTTCTAGAAACCAACACAATTAGCCTTCAAGTCTTTCACTCATCAAATCAATGCAAGTAGAATCAGCTTACCGGTTAAGAGGTCTCCCCTTAGGCCTAGTATTAAACATGTACAAGATGCATCATTTGGACTTGGCAAGACGATATGCATTGAAGTAGTGTTGCAGCTCGACCGGCGTGTAAGCACCGAATCATGCTCTCTCCAGGGTTAACATACAGAATGTGATCATTGAAAAGCATGGATTAAGTTAGTGCATGTGGATTCCGATCATGATACTTCTTGTAGAGCTAGGTTCAATTCCTGGGCGGATTTCGAAACCGACCCCCCTCTTCTATTGTGAAAAAGAAGAGGAATTAGAACAGTTGCATATGATTGAACCCTACAGTGATTATACAGGTTTAAATGACCACCATAGTCACCTGGTAAGAGAGGGCAGACTGCGCTTTACTTTCTCGAGTTCTATAAAACAGAGGTTGCAACGCTCAAACCTAGGACAATCAGAAGCATGAAATTCCGGTTAATAGTCCAATAATTGAATATTTGAATGTTATATATGAAGCTTCGAAGCAAGTAGAGACACCTTTGCTCTGCCTCGATGTCTACACCGACAGGTGTTGAAGCAGATATGGTTGAATATATCATGGAACCGAATACCCTCACCAGCTTAAGCAGCATTTCCAGACAGATGCTCAAATGCCTGCAAAAGACTAGAAGTTAAACTTTATAGGTAGATGCAACTAACACCAAACAGATCCTAAGAAACCAAGTACTAAAATACCATATCACGTTAACCACCTTAAGCTTATCAAAGTTTGAAATTCACCAAGAATGTAAGGCAAATAACTACCGAAACCAATTGATCTTTCCATAACAAAAGGAGAACAACAATCCCAGCCTAATCACTACAAAAATGCAAGATTATGGACACACACTGTACGTACCTATCCATGTCACTTCCAAGGAGACCAGACAGAAGTCGCAGAAGACAAGTGCAAATGTCCAACGTGACGATGTCCATTTTCTCAATGACAATGCTCATGACATCAACAAGCACCTAAAGTTTCCATCGTGACATGAAAAAGGAAACGGAAGTGGTTCTTAAATATGTTCGATTTACACAGAAGTTCAAACTGTGACGGGTGTATTAACAAACATAAACTGCTTACAGCATAATCAGCCATCTTTTCGATTGCAGATATTGCCCCCTTTATGTCATTTCTTTCCCAATACCGATGAACAGCCTATAACCAATAAAACAAGGCTCAGCAATCTTCTATGAAAGCTTGAACATTGTAGACATTTTATTATTAAGCCAACAACAAAAGAATCCGAAAAAAACTAGTTTCTTTCAGTCACCTGTAACTTGGCAAAACGAGATTGCATGGAACTAATGAATTGGTCATGCTGCTCCAGCAAATCTGCAACAGCATCCTCATCACTGGCAGAAGGCATTTCTTTTTCCACAGATGCAGGGTATCCTCTTTGTTTATACTTCAAAAGATAACAACATGAATACATAAATTAGCATTGACAGCGACTTGATAACATATTAGAAAAGGGAACACAAGTTAACGCAATATGGAACCAAAGTGAATACAAGATTCTGTTTATACCGCATTAAAGGAGGGCATGTTTGCCATTGATACATTCCTCGGAGAGATACTCATAGTTGGTCCATCAAAATTAGAAGATCTCCCTCTTTTCTCCAAATTTAAGACTACAGAACGTGTTCCTGAAGAATTGATAAAGTACAATGAGTTCAGACCTTCATAGAGTAGTTTATAATACAAGCAGCTATCAAGAGCTATACCTCCTCTTTGGCTTTCTAAAGGATAAGCATCTCTTTGTATTTTTTGCACTTTTGCATGTGAGAGAGATCCCTCTTAAATGGTAAAGTCGTTAATCAAAATCATTCGGCTGGAACTTCTAAAACATCTCCTAATGGTTACTTTACATATTAAATTTTCCTATTCTCCTTCACTGGCAGCTCACTGTTCTTATCATCTCACTCTTTAGTTGGTTCCTATAAATCTCAAGAAAACTCATGATTGCCATTAAGCAGAGGCCTTAACTAAATGCATTTCAATATAAATATTTCTAGTCATAATCTAATTGACAGACTATTGATAAAATTGTCAAGGTCAGAATCAAACACGACAGAAAATCACGAGTTCAAGAAACATACGATTTTCATCCCTGTAGCTAGAAGGAAACTCTGCCACTGAATTTGGTTCACTCTTGCCAGTGCCAATGCACCTATCTTCCCTCATATTCCTTTCGGCAGCAGACATTCCTTGAATAGGGCCCTTAACAACAACAAAATTACTCCTGTCCAGGACACTGTTGAATTCAGCAACCTTAGAACCTGTAGTTTCAGATGGAGCAGATATATCTGGCCGGTCCATGTCTTCCTTGAAACTTTGAAACTTTCGGAAACTACTTGTCTTTGACTGCAAAGCAAATGGCATGGTTCTTCCAACAATACCAAGTTCTTTTCTGGAATCAGCTCCCTGCTCCAAAGTTCTTCCAATTATGCCATCTTCTTTTCTAGATTCAGCAGCCGCCTGGCTTGGCTCCAAGCTTCTCCCGGCTATTCCAGCTTCTTTACTTGACTCAGCAACCTGTTCCAAACTTCTCCCAGATATTCCAACTTCTTTTCTTGATTCAGCGGCCTGCTCCAAACTTCTCCCAGATGTTCCAACTTCCTTCCTTGATTCAGCAGCCTGCTCCGACCTCGGATCATTTCTAGGCACGATCACAGGTATGACATCCGACCTGCTAAAACTTGGAACACTGATGCCTGAACTAGCTTTTGTAGAACTCCTTTTTGGAGCTGCTACAGTAGGAACTACTACGGAATTTGGTGGGGTTGTCTTTGGAATCGTGTTTAAATTGACCCTCTGGGGGATAACAGGTACATTTCCTGGGGCTTTAACCATAATGAAAAAATAAGAATAAGATAAATAAATACATAATAGTTACAGGCTCCCCCACTAGTATTTCCAGAGGTTTTATAACTTTTCAAAGCACCAAGTTTATTAAATGGCTGAAAATAGATGCTTATGAATAATTATCAATTTATCATTTTCCGAAATTTTATTTTTCTTTTCAACAAATTGACCTAATACTACTGCCTGCTTATGAGAATTAATACCATAATGACCATCACATGATAATAATAATAATAATAATAATTAAAGAAAAAACCTTTAGGACACAACATAAGTAGAAGAGGAAATTTGAGCATTTCGGCTATATAAGTGCTATGCATCAACTCACTTGTCTTTTTTGTTTTATTGATCAAAAAGAGATAATTTACAGTGATGGGTTTAATTCCTCTCCTGAAACCTTGTTGACATATTTCTCTCATGAAAACTAATTCAGGATGAATAGTATACTTAACAATACAGTTCCTAAGAATTTTGTTTATAATAAATAAAGGGAAAGTAAAGCAATTATTCAAAACTCCAACAAATTAAAGCAAAATGTAACATACATGCCATATTTTTGGACTCCTTGGCAGGATCCGAGTTTTGTGAAACAGACAACCTTCCAAGGGATTTTGTTTCCTTCACTAAAGTATCCGGATTTTGTGAAACAGATATTTTTCCTGTACTAGGTTTTGCTGTGTTCTCATTCAGTACAGAGAGGTTTCCACCTGAACTAGTTTTGGGTTCAGCGTAACC